ATAGCAGTTCAAGTATTCTCTTTTAATGGAGAACAATGGTTCAGCAGTGAAAAAAGGACATCTTTCTTTTGTGACTCCTAATGTGGCTGGGGCCAGGTCAGAAAGTCCAATGAAGTCCTATTAAAGACTCTGCAATACCAAGACAGAAATAAGTAGATAATAATAACAATAATATGATAACAACAATAATAACAACAGTAATAACGCCAGCAAATCTGGCTTTCGAGATGTGGTTTAAACTCTGGTTACTTTTTAAAAATCTTACCACCTAGATGACCTCTAAATGTGGCAGCAAAGGTGATGATGATGATGACGATGATGATAATGACGATGGTGGATGATGGTGATGATGATGATGATGATCATGAAGGTGACGATGGTGATGATGAGGATGACGGTCAAGATGATAAGATGGAGATGATGGGGATGATGATGGTAGTAACAGAGACGGCAACACCATAGTTACAGTTTATTGAAGGCTTCCTACATACTGTGTTAATAGCTTTTCACTCTATCTCATTTAACTTTCATAACGCTACAAGATAGGTGCTACAGATGTATTTTCATTTCACAGGTGAGGAGACTGAGGTTTAGTTGCACAGCTATCTCCCAACACCAACGGTTAAGTTCAGTTGTTTAGAAATCTAGCAGTTCCGCAAGGCCAGGAGAAGGATGGGGAATAACCTCTACCATCCTAACTATGACTTGCCTTCTGAGAGAGGTTTAATTTCTCAAGTCTCACATCCATTTGTGCAGACCTTGATGCAAGGAAGAACCACTTCTTTCCAGGAAGTTCACCCTTGTATACAAAATGTTAGCATGGGGCCCAGCATACCCCAGAATTCACCCACACAGTAGGGCCGGGTGGCTCTGTCATAGTCTCCAATGAAGGTTTATGTTGAGTCCAAGGGACTCACGGGCCATCTAAAATGAGATAATGTCTGGCTTTCCATTGTTTGGGCCTCATGACAACTTTTTTGGCATTAAGTATCTCATTGAATATTGGGGAAACTCGAAAGTCTAAAAACTCAAAATGTCATTGAACAAGTTGGTGAATCCAAGTTATGTCTCTGGGTTTTCAGTCTCTGGCATTACACTGCCTCTCCTGGGGAGGGTTCCTGTGTAGGAAACCTGGATGGATCTTTTGCTTGGGTGGGGCCACTGGCATACAAAGAGTTAAAAGTGCACTGAATGCAGATTCTGCCACCCTCACTGTAACTCCAGCTCATTTAATTGCTCTGACCTCAGTTTTGTCATCTGTAAAATGGGGCATAACATCTCATTATATAATGTTTTGAGAATGAGAAAATGAAAGTGAAAACACTTTTTAAGCTGCATCTTTCTGAACAAAGTGTTTCAAATAATTTTAATACAAGATGGGCCCCCATGCTGGTTGTATGGCTGTATTCCATTCCTCCCTCCTCACATGCCCATTCCCACTCTCTACCCGACTCTGGGACTTGGGATGAGCTGACATCCAGGTATTATCTTAACTGGCTCCCTTGTGCTGTAGCTTCTAATTGAGTCTGACTAATGGAAGATAATGGTAGGAGAGCTGAGGATGTATAAACTTGGGGTATTTATTTCCCAGGTTTTTTCCCTGCCAAGACACTGTGGGTTGGGCCTGTGTCCCTACTGAAGGCCACAGCTCCTATCAGGCAACTCTTTCATATCCTCCCTCCCTTCCCCCTATAGGCTTAAGTGTAGTAACATCTCCTTCTGTATCTGTCCCCAGGCCACTGGACTATGCTTTCCTGGTATCCATAAATCCTGCCCCTTCTCTTGTAACTATCCCTTTATTAAACATTACCCAGTTTGAATACTCGATGTCTGCTTGGACCCTGACTAATATTGGCCATTGGAGATAATCGAGGCAATCGCTATGTACTCCAATTTACAGACGAGACCCCCAAATTACAACTGATACCCATAGAGGTAAAGAAACTTGCCCAAAGTCACCCCACAAATCAGTGGAAGATTTCCAGTACTAACCAGGGTCCCCTGATTCTAAGGCAGGCTTTTTGTCCAGAGTATCAAACTTCCTTTCAAGAGAAAGTCACCCCAGGAGGCTTGGGAAATTTACAAAGAAAAGAAGAGAGCTCAGTATGAGGCCCCCAGGCATCTCTCTGATGAGAGATTGAATATACAAAGGGACGATGGCCAGATCATATGTAAAAATAGAACTCTGATCTTCAACTGGCAGCAACTAGCCCAGGAAGCCAAACCACGGCCTCTGCAGCAATCGGCCCCAAGTGGCCGGGATTTGTCAATAACTGATGGCTTCCCTAGTTTTTGTTTTCACTTCCAACTTGGGATAAACTGGAGAAAGCCAAACAGGTACCCCTAACCTATCGCATAGGACGTTCTGCTTCTAGTTACCCCACCTCCAGCTTCCCCCTGACAACCCCACAGGGAAATTTTCCATACCCGACATCTTTCCTTTTTTCCACTGTAAAGCTTTCTCATTCTGCCGCCTGTCTTTGAGTCTCTGCAAACGTAAGTGATGGTGGCTGACTCTTTTGCTACTGCAAGCTCTGAATAAATAGTCTTTGCTTGTTCTCATTTAGATGGTCTTCATTTATTTCCACACCGGAATTCATCCTTTTAAAACTAAACTGATCCCATAATATACTATTGGGCGGACTGATGGACAAGCTTGAAACATTCAGCAAACTGGCTCACAAATTGGCTCCACCTCGGGTAGAGCATCGACTGAGAGTTATCGGCTGCCATGCTGTGGCTGTCAGCAGAGTTACGTTATTCCGTTTGGTAACTGTTCACTGAGTATAAGTACACTGCTACCAAGTGGAGTCAAGATTCTATTGCACGGTCCAAGGAGGCAGTGGGAAGGGAACAAGAGGGAGGTCAAGACAACTCATGTATCGAGAACTCATTAAGTGAAACACTTTCCTCACATGATCTTGATTCACACAATCCCAAAATCTATGATAGGTGCCATTATTTCCACTTTAGCCGAGAAAGCTCAGGCTCAGAGAGTGCATGCGATTTGCTCAAGGTCATACAGCCGCCAGGAGGCTGGGCTAAGGTTCAAACGTGACTTCAATGTCTATGTCAACCTTGCTTCTCTTCCATTTGGGGTAATTATGGATAGTCATGACTATAAGATAATTTTGGTCAAAATTAGAGTTGTCTTCTTGAATTAACTGACTTGATTAATTATGAAGTATAATTGAGAGCTTTATCTTAAGATTCTGTAGAACTATGAATGCAACAATATATAAACGTTCTGGTATATTTAATTTTTTTTCAGCTCACGCTCAGTTTTACAGAAAGCATTTTTATTCTTCTTAGAGCAGTGGTTCGCAACTGGGGGCAATTTTGTACCCCTTCCCCCCCCCCCGGAACATCTGTCCATGTCTGGTGACATTTTTGGTTGCCACAACTGTGGATGAGTGTGTTCCTGGCATCTAGTGAGTGGAAGCCGGGGATGCTGCAAAACATCCTACAGTGCACAGGACAATAGAGAGTGATTCAGCCCCACTTGTTGACATTGCAGACAGTGAGAAATCCTGGTTTAACGGCATCTAAGGTCAACTGAATATTGAACACAGCATCTCAGTCCCAGTACAGGATTTTCTTTTCATAAAATAGACTCATTTCTCTCACCATTAAAATACAAAATGATGCTAATATGATGACTTGGGCCTTGGAGTTGGAGAAAAAGCTCCTGTTCTGCACTTGCCAGCTAAGTATCCTCGGACAAGTGCTTAATCACCATGAACTTCCCTTCTTCTTATCTGTAAAGTGCGGCATATTTCAGTACTTATACCACTGGGACTGCATGAGGATTAAATGAAAGTGCGTAAATATTTCATGCAAGGCACAATATACAATGGATGATTAATAATTTTTGTACCTTCTTCCCTTTCCCCTTTGAGACACATACTATAACATCCTCATTTAATTAAAAAAATTAAAAATACATTGCCATGGTAGGCATCCACTAAGTATCTGAATCAGTTAAAATTGTTAACTTCGGTTCTAACTTGGTTGTGGAAAGTCGAGTTAAAAACTTGCAGGGCGAAGTTACGAAATGTCTGGAAACGGGCAGGTTCCAACTCATCTACTCCCATTGTGCCAAATTCTGTACTAGACTGCAGGGAGATAAGAGGAAGAAATAAGTCACGATTATGGTCATCAGACACTGGGGCATGAAAGGACAGTGAAAGCCGAAGGAGAGGACACAGGAGGACAAAGCTAAATTGATTCTTGGAATAAGCTAGAATCCAACAAGGGGGAAAAAAATCCATCCATTCAGAAACCAAATAGAATTATTTCGCTGTGAAAGTGAGTCTATATAATTTATGAATTTCCATTTTTATTTTTCCTAGTTAAGCCTCAAAACGAGACAATACCAAATGCGTTTTAAATCCCAATTGGGCTGAGAACATGATCGAAAGTGGAGGAGTCAAATAAACTAAACGATGAGGTGTTTCTACTCTAAGCAAGGGGCTCAAACCTCCTCTCGCTGAAACTCCACCAGTGCATGGCCATTTCTAACATTTTGATAAATATTCTAAGAAATCTTTTCTTTTCTTTTTTTTAATGTTTGTGCCTGGATTGGAAACACCTCACCCTTAAGTTTATTTTTATATGTTTAAATGCTTACAGAATTTGGATTAACGTGAGCTTTCCATTTAGTATCTCTTTTTCACTTTAATGCACAACATTCTAATACAGTGGAAGCTTCAGAATTTACTTTCAATTCTTCCCTTTTGAGAGGCACTTGGGTTATTTCCAGTCTGGGGCTATTATAAACAGCAATAATGAACATTCATGTATATATATCTTCGTTATTTTATGAAAGGCAAAACTCTGGGGTGACCCCCAATGATTCTCCCCTCCTGGTGGTCGTGGTTTTGCATAATCCTCTCACCTTGAGTAACTGGCTTTTAATCAGAAGAATGTGGCAATGTTGAGGGCGTGTCACTTCGGTCACTAGGTTACAAAAGATTCTGACTTCCGTCTTGATAGAAGATTCTTTCTATTGCCTTCCCAGTTTGCATGCTTTGTTGAAACGCAACACCATTGGAGAGATCCATGGGGCAAGGAACTGAGGTGCTCAGTCGAATTGCTCTCAAGGCACTGAATGCTGACAACAACACTGAGTGAGTTTGGAAGCAGATCCTTTCCCAGTTGAGCCTTCAGAGGACATTCAGCCCCGGCTGATGTTTGATTGCTGCCTTATTAGAGATTGTGAAGCAGACCACCCAGATTCCTGACCCACAGAAATTGCAAGATAATAAATGTCTATGGGGGCCGGCCCTGTGGCCGAGAGTGCTCTGCTTCAGTGGCCCAGGTTCACCGGTTCGGATCCTGGATGCGGACCGACACATGGCTCATCAAGCCGTGCTGTGGTGGCGTCCCACATAGAAGAACTAGAATGACCTACAACTAGGATATACAACCATATAGTGGGGCTTTGGGGAGAAACAAAAATGTCTATATTTTAAAGCCCCTATGTTTAGGCATAACTTGTTACACTTCCACAGATAACTAATACAAGTAACTCACAATTCAACAGGGAAACTAAGAAAGGTAAATGAATAACCTACCGCAAGGTAGGATGTTATGAGGACCAGCAGAGTTTTAGGGAAGGATTTTTGGGGATTCTTGGGATGAAAGGCCCCTTTAACTAAGGGTGTTGAACTTTCATTTATTCAGAAACTATTTATTAGACTTTTTCTGTGTGCTAGGCACTGTGCTGGGCTCAGGGGCTAAAATGGTGAAGATGACAAAGTTCTTTTTCTCTTGATGTTTATACCCTCCAGGAACAGACAGAAAATGAAGAGCAAATAAACAAATGAACAAGATAAGGTAGTAGAAGGGAAAGTGATAATGAGGGATCAGGAAAGCTAGGAGATTTCCTCGTTTCTGGTGGTCAAAGAGGACAGCTCGCTGAGGAGGTGATAACTGCTGAAAACCATCTTTGGGCTACTTCCCATACAGGCGAGGTTTCCATAAACCCGGAGGGACAGGGGCCCTGCCCTCCCACCCCGGTGTTGGTTGCTGTGCTCCCTCTCCTTCAGGCAGCCAGTGACGACGGGAGGTGGGCTCAGCCCAACAAAGGCAGTATATTGGTTCAGGCTTCTGCAGTTCCTAACGGCTGGATGATGTATGCCGCGGTGGAAAGGGGCACCCGCTTTGATGTTCGTGGCCTGGTTTGATTAATGAGTGGCTCTGCCGGGAGGCTATGCTGGGAGTAAATTACTCTTTTCAGAAATGGCTAGATCGGCACTATTGTACTAATTATTTCACAAGCTCGGGGTCAGTTCCAAATTCCCTGACACACACAAGGGAACAAACACCCAGGCTAACCGAAGCCGACAGAGCTCTAATTAAAGCAGAAATTGTTTGTGACTCCCCTCTCCCCTACCCTCCACCCCGCCAGCCCCCTTTCCCCAGAGGAAGAAGCTGTCAGACACATTTCCTTCCTGCCCCTGGCCTGGCCCAGCACGAACCCCCAGAGTTCCAGGAAACAGCCCGAAGCACCCCAGCGCATATGCTGAGCACTGCCAAGGACAGGAGATCCTCACGGTGGGTCCAGCACCCTGGCTTCTGGTTTCTTTCTTCTAATCATGTGCACAGGTGTTGTAATCATCCATTCGCTCATTCACTCATTCATTCCTCCTTTTCTTTGTTCATTTCATACATATTTATCAAATGCATTTTATGGGCCAGGAACTGTGGTAAGAACTAGCAGGGTCCCAGCCTTCAGAGCTGACTGCCTAGTGTGCAGACTCATTCATCAGATAATCACACAGATAAATCTGAATGGCAACTGCAAGGATTACTATCTGGAGCCTGTGGCTTTGAGGACATATAATAGGGGGATTCGGGGTTGGGGGCTCAGATCCTTGAGGAGGTGGTGCCAGAGCAGAAAAAGTTTAACCAAGTGTAGGTTTAGAGAAATGAGGAGGAGTGTTCAAGGTGTTGGAGACAGCATGTGCAAAGGCCCTGTGGTGGGAATAGAGGTGATGTTCTGAAGGAACAGAAAGAAAGGCAGTATGGCTGGAGCTCCAGAACAGAAGCAGATGGATCAGGCTTGAGGCTTCTGCTATGTGTGTGGCCATGGGGGTCCCTAGCATGACTGTACCTTGGTTTCCTCACTCCAAAATGAGGATAAATTTTGTTAAGTTTTTCGTAAACGTTCTGGTGGCCTCCCCAGCAAATACCCATGAGTAATTACCCTTGACCTTCCTTGGCAGTCTTTTCTCCCACCCACCCAGGCCACTGTGCTCCAGCTAAACTGCACTGCTTACTTTCGTGCATAGGTTCCAACCTCTGTGCCATCCCCACCTCTCCACACCAACCTCAGAAAGGCTGGCTTCCTCTTAACCCACCGACGGGCAACAACGGAGATAAAAGCTTCGTCGTGCATTTATGCATTTGCTCAACTACTCCACGGATGTTTACCAAGTCCTGTCGCATGCTGTCCGCTCTTCTTGAATGTTTATACCCTGTATGTTGGAAGTTCCTTTGTAAAATGACTGAAATATCTGCCTTCAAGCAATCGATGAACTTCACGTAACTTCACATGTCGCTCCTGCTGATCACTTTCAATTATTGTGTCTTCGCCGTGTACCTTTACATATGTCGTTTCACTTAGTTCTCCGACAACCCCTCCCTGTAGACATAACTCTCAGCACTGTGAAATGAGTGATCCTAAGGTCAGTCAGTGTTGAATAACTTGCCCAAAGACACATTTCTAGCAAGTTTGTGTCAGAGCTGTGATTGGACTCTTTTTTCAAAGTCTTCTATTTTCATCCACTAGGTCATGTATTATTAACATGTTTATTTGCTTTAGAAATAGTAACAGCTGACAGATATTGAGTGTGTATTCTAGAGTAGGTGTTGTGCCGGACAATTTCCATACATTAGCTTACGGTGAGCCTGTAAGGCAGAAATCATGATTATGCCCGTTTTATAGATGAGAAAAACTGAGGTTCAGAGGGATTCAGTCATTCGCCCAAGATTACACAGCTAGTAAATAGTGGAGACTGGATTTATGCCCAGGCTCCAGATGCCAGAACCGCAATCTGTGAGAGACAGTCCTATCCTTGTCAGTTTCGGTGCTCAGATAGGAAAGCTCCTTTCTTCTGATGACCACAAAGCCACCTTCCAAAGGTGGTCAGCGTGGCTGGTTAAGATGGGCCCAGAAGGGGCATCCTGAGGCTGTGTGCACTTAGATTCCTTTACTTTGGGAGTGGGGGATTTTTCAGCTCAAGGCGCCTGTGCTCTGTCTAAAAAGAATGGGCTAAATGGGAAAATCAATAATGCATACAGATGGTCCCAGTGATGTTTACAGTGTTTAAGAGAACAAATTATTCGGAAGCACCTGGGATTCATTCTTCCCCATACGAAAGAAGAAGAGGTAGGGGATTCCAGGTCATTCTCATCTATCCATTGAAGCCAACTCTCTAAGAGGCAATTATTCTGCGTTTATCTTAGTTTGCATTGGTCACGTTCTATCACCTCCACCAATGCCAATTAAGCAAGTTTCACTTTACGGCAATTTCCTGTACAGACAATATGTACAAAAGAATAGAACTCATGCAACAGACATTTATTGAGTGACTATTATATGCCAGATACCAGGCCATGGGCTGGGGCTAAGGAGAAATAGCCCTAAATGCAGCCACAACTATGACCTACACTTATAAAGCGCTTACTCTGTGTCAAGTTCTCGTCTAAAAATTCACTGAAGCTTTGCACAGACCCATGAGGTAGGTGCCATTAGTATTGCCTTTTTATAGAAGAAGGAACTGGAACCAAAGGTCAGGCACTGGGGATGTGAAAGGGGCAGGATTCAAACCCAGGCAATCTGATGAAGCATATTTCCTCCCCTGGAATTGCTTACTCGTTCAGTGGGGAAGGCATACATACACATATACATATATGTGTATACGCATATACACAACACACATACACATATACCAAAAAAACAGGCAAATAAAAAAAATGCACACCCACAGGCAAAGAGAAAAAAACCCCCAAACCACGGCAAGGTTATAGTGTATCCTAAATAAGCAGAGAGAAACCATCATGAGGGCTGGGTGAGTAGGTGGGGATTTTTCACGTACAGTGGTCCTAGAAGATTTGAGAAGTTATGTTGAAACCAAAGGAATGAGAAAGCGGGAGATGGGCTATTGGTGACAATAGTAGTGTTGGTGGGATGGAAAATTCCAGAAAGAGGGAACTAAGTGGGTTAAGAGTCTGAAGTGGAAATATGCTTGGAGTGTTCAGGGAATTGAAAGAAAAGACCCATGTGGATAGAATTTAGTGATTTGGGGAGAGGGGAGTAAAAGAGGTGAGGTGGGAGAGAGTGGTGCAGATCAGAACATGTAAGGTCTTATTTTAACATTTTTGGGAGGACAAAATGAGATAATCTATGTAATTTGTATATTACAGGGTCTGGAACTTAATAAGCACTCAGTCAATGTTCAATTTTATGATCATTATCGTTATTCCATGTTTTGTCCCATTGATTTTCATTTCTTTTATATTATTTAAAGGAAAAAAATTAAAATTTTTCTTTTAAAATTTCCCCTTATCCATAGAGTTTATTCTTATAAGATTCTGGAAGAGTTCTCAGTGGGAGGGCTTCAGGCCCATCCTAGTTCCAGTGACCCCTGGAGCATGACAGAGATGGTGTTGAGGTGTGTGTGTCTGAAAACAACCTAAATGTCCATTGATGGATAAATGGATAAGGAAAGTGCGGTGTATGCATATAATGGAATATTATTCAGCCTTGAAAAAGAATATGCACTATCTGACAACATGGATGAACTTTGAGGATGTTATGTTGAGTGAAATAAGCCAGTCTCAGAAGGACAAACACTGCAGGAAATCCATTTATATGAGATATCTAAAAGGGCCAAATTCATAGACTCAAAGAGTGGAAGGATGGTTGCTAGGGTCTGGGAGAGGAGGAAAGGGAGAATTTCTAATCAACAGGTATAAAGTTTCAGTTAAGCCAGACGAATGAGTGCTAGAGATCTCCTGTACAACTTTGTCCCTATAGTCAACAATACTGTAGTATGCTCTTAAAAATGTGTTGAGAGAGTAGATCTCCTGTTCCACAATAGAAATTAAAAAGAAAATAAAGTGAGTGGGCATTTCAAGTCTGGAGTGGAGGGACTGGAGGGCAGGAGCGGCGGAACCGGGCCCAGGGCTGCCTCTCGCTCAGCTGCGTATCCTTACGCTGTCCACTAAGCCTCGCAGCAGAGACGACAGGAAGCTTGTGCCGAGAAAAACCGAAGGGTTTTATTTTAAGACCTGCTGTGAGGAAGGGCCTTTGGAGCAAATTCAACCACTCGACCACATTCCTGAAGGTCAGACAGCAGCTACATGATCTGCTGGATTTGGGGAAACATTTAAGAAAGAAGAAGAAGGGAAAAAATCGGATCTGTCCTGAGGGATCATAAAGACTGGGAAAGACGCAAGAAAGTTCTGGGAGGAAGGAATTAAAGGGAGATGAAAACTTGCTTCTTCAGCTGCTGCTGAAATTGTTCTTAAATCAAGCAGTGGTTTGCAGACAGGGCCACGTAACTGATTATAAATGTTGGAATTTATTTCAATAAGCCCTGTCTTCCTCAGCAGCTGTTCTACTTTGCAGCAAACCAGCAAACAGACGGAGGAGCTGGAGGCAGCCTGTCTGCTGTCTTCACCTCAGAGGAGTCTGAATTGTTTTGTGGTGAGATGCTTCTGGCGGGCTGACACTTCCTCCCGTTGCAGGGGGAATGGGGAGGAGCAAGGGGCTGCCTTTGACCAGCCTGTCTTCTCAGGGGCTCTGGACACCACGGCTGGGAGCCACTCACTGTATCTCTTCCTCTGGAGCCAGAAGGAAGTGATGGCATCATCTGTCCACACTGATCAGGCTGGGGAAGCCATCCATGTGTTCTGAGAGGAAGCCCATCTTTTCTGCTCGTGAAAGCAGGGAGAGACAGCGGGAAGCATACTAGGTTGAAGGCTGAAGTCTAGATCCTGCTTCTTAGGTACTAGGTGAGGGGTTTCTCACTCTAAGATGGGAATATTTATACCTGCATCCGGAATGGCTGGGAAGATTAAATTCATTGACCTAGAGATGAAAGCATGCAGTGTGGTGTCTGGCAAACAGTAGGCGCTCAATAAATGTCCAGCTGAATCTCAGTTTAAAAGCCACCTTGCATCTGTTCTGGCTCACGTTGGTCTCTCCCTCTATGAAAACTATGGGTCATCTTGCTCACTTGGTGCTTGCGCGGGGCAGTAAAGTAGTTCAAGGTCATGTCCTGATTCCCACACCCGACTTCCGACCACTTGGATCACTTCCTCTCTTTCTCTAGCTGCAAAATAGTGAAACAATCACTGCCCCCTCCCAGGGTGGTTTTAGGTATAAGTGAGTTAATTCTGGGACAAGCATTTTGGAGTCTTTAAAAATGTGTGGCGCGTGGTCGGGTTATATCAGATGCTCTATTTCCTCCTCTTTGTTGAAAGCTGCTTTCCCATCCCGGCTGTGTGACTTTTTAAGGTGGGAACCACCTCTTTGGCCTTCTTTGTGCTCTTGGTCCATCTTACTGAGTCGGTCCTTTGGAGAAGATCATTAAGGGAAGTTTCCAGAGGGATGGGGGAGCTATTAACAGTAGGGAGTGTAGGAATTAGGGATTTCCTAATGTCTCCTTCTTCTCCACTGAATCCTAAATTTCTGTATTCCCATGCACAACTCTTCCCCTTTCTCTCCCTGCTCCAGCCAGACTTTCAGTGTTACTACTTGTTACTTCTTGCCTCAGGACCTTTGAATATGCTGTTCTGTCTTCTGGGATACTCTTCTTCAGATTTTTGAATGGATGGTCCTTCCGATCATTAGGTCTCCTGAGAAAGATCCTTCCCAACCTAATGTCACTCTCCTCACCCCGACCTGCTGCTCTCGGATGGTGCATCCTCCTATTCTATTTTCTTATCACTACGTGAAATGGTCTCATTCCATGATTGTGTACATGTTTTGTCCCTTCTCTTTGACTTGAATGTAAGCTCCACAAGATCATGGACTGGGTTTTATCATCAACCCAACCCTGATGTCCAGAACAGTTCCTGGTACATAGTAGGTGCCCAGCAAACGATTGCTTAATTAGCTCCCTTTGCGACACTGTCCCAGGTTTTCTTCCTCTGGAAGCCTTCCAGGACTGCCCTAGTACTTGTTGATTTTCCCTACTCCAAGACTTTCTGCTTTTAGATTAACTGCTTCCCAGTTTGATTTGACAGACTCTCTAATTCCTTCCTATGTGATGGTCTGAGACGATCTTCTTTTCCTCTCCTTTCTATTTGAGGTGGGCATGGAGAAAGTCCTCAGAAAATGTCTGCTTGACTAAGAAAAATCTTTTCGTTCTTCTTGGGTGAGAATAGAAAACAGAGAGCTCTGGAGTCTCTAGAAGACAGAGTGGGAAGGAGGAGAGCATGGTGAGTTTTCCACACTCATGCCTTGGGCCTTCCCTTTCTGGGCAAATAGTGAGTTAAGAGGGAAGGATGTTCTTACATTTTCCAGACCAGTAAAAT